TAAAAGTAAGTGTTTGTATTAAAAAAATGATTAAAACACATGAGAGATAGTATTTTTAGAGATAAAAACACTAATCATGCTAACATGACCTCCACTGGCCCTGTGGCAGGGGGCGGTGTCACGTCCATCTTTTTTTTACAGTCATTGATTCTGATGCTCGACTGCAAATTGAGCTCACACTGTACGACTCTGTATCCAATACTAGAGTGCCAGGGACAACTGGGATGCAAATGAAAGTGATTGTGATTCTAGTCACTTCTGAAACTTCTTGTCTTGTTTTATGTAATATTTACTAGGAGACCATTATCCTTTACTCACATTTTAAACTAGAAAGACTAGAAGATTAGCTCTCTCCATCATTCATTCATTTTCCATCCTGTTTATTCCCTTTTTTGGGGTCACGGGGGTCTGCTGGCGTCTATCTCCAGCGCAGATTCACCAGTCCACCTAAGGGGAATTTTAGATTATTTAATTAACCTAACCGCATGTTTTTGGGATTGTGGGGGAAACCGGAGTACCCGGAAGAAACCCACGCAAGCATGGGAAGAACATGCAAACTCCTTAGAGGAACAACCTCGAAGAACAGCCTTGAACTGTCAACCTTCTAACTGGAAGGCCACATTGTTACCCACTGTGCCACCCTCTCTCCATCATTTAGAGTAAAAAAAGTAGGGATGTCCCGATCAGGTTTTTTGAGCCCCCGATCCGATCCAAGTCATTTAATTTTAAGTATCGACCCATACCGAGTCCCGATCCGATACTTGTCTTTTCCTTGTGCTAATTGCACACTTTAAGTGCATGCAGGTTATTAAATCAATCCAGTGTGTACTCTTGACAACCAAATAGCTCAGCAGTGCATCAATAAAAAAAAACTGAAAGAAACCTGTTCCTTTACAGTTTTTTATTTCTCACAAATATGAAATCTCAATTTTACAGCTCAGTGAAGTCGCAATATTCTGTCGTGTGTTTCGTTTTAAGATGCCTTATCAAGTTGGTAGTATTAAAGGCTGCTTTGCTAGTACCACCGCGTCAAACTAGAAAAAAAAGAAAATAATATATTTTACATGAGGTATTAAATAACAATCAGTAAATAAACATTTCTATTTCTTCAACAACGAAAATGTTACACATTTTAAGTTACGAAGAACACTTCAACATGTCACAAACCTATTAGATAAAGACATGTAAATCATCACAACACACAAAACTTAAACACGCTATTTAGGCGCTTAGGCGCTAATATAAACAACAAATAGCGATCTATGAAATCCCTTTTAAATAAACAAAATATACTTTTTTAAACATTAGCTTACCACGCTGGGAATAAATAAGCATTAAATGAAGGTTTTTGTAGAGCTTGAACCTTTTTTTTTTAACACGAGCACAAACATGCGAGTCTCTCATATTTCTTCCTGATTCACGCACGCTCTAAGCACGTCATCAACGTCCTTAAAGGGGCAGCACACAACAGCTTGCATTGCAAACGTTGCATGTAGCTACCAGACTAGAATCACTTTCCAACTTAAAATACTTCCACACTGCAGACATCTTAGCACCGTATTGCAAGTAGTAAACAACATGCGAGTTTAACATGCGAGTTTGCGACACGTGCGTGACGTAGCTGACGTAAACATTCGATCGGTCCGATACATAGAGCCGATTCCGATCAGTTAAAAAATGCCTCGATCGGCCCCGATACCGATCTTTATGATCGGCTTGGGACATCCCTAAAAAAAAGATAACTTAATGCAAACATTAACACTGCCCCCAGTGGATGGGTGGTACAAATCAAACTAGACCCTAGCCTTCTAGACCCCAACTTTGTGGCCTCAAAACTTTTGAAATATTTTTATATTCTCTAAACAGTTTCAATAGTTAGTTAAAAATGTAGTCTTGTCCCTGTGGAATAGCGGAATGTGCGCCGGACAAACCCTCTCTCGATCCAACCCTCCTCCTGTCTACCTACAGTCCTATTCGTTCAAAATAAAGGCCAAAAATAAAGCTTTAAAATAAAAATGGTGTTGTAAAATACCGTGATGCATATCTTATTGTTGACATAATATTGAGGTATGTATCTATACCATATTAAATATTAGAAATCAAACAATCATTGGCACCCAACACCTGTATCCCTGCTGTACGCTATAACCTTATAACGCTTTCTATATTTCCTTGAGGGATCTCCTAAATGGATTAATAAAGTATATTCGATTCTATTCGATAGAAGAGATTTCATGACTCCATTCCCTGTGCTCAGAGCTGCGCGTCGTCAAGGTGTACTGTGCCTCTGTTTGCACATGCTCAGGGAAATCCGCTCATAGCTGCTTCAAGAACAAAAATTGCAGTGTGCACAGCTGAGGTCTTCTCGTGTCAGAATTAATAATGCAGGTTTTGACATGTTCTTGCATGGAAGTAAGGGCAGTGTAGTTCATTCTGACTTCTCAGAAGCAAACTTTATTAGAATGGATTGATGAATTTGCTTGTGATTTGTGGTTTTTGGCTCGTCTGGTCACCTAAACTGCGATTTGCAACAGATAGCAGTGTTTTATTAAGGTAATTACGGGATATTGCTCAGCATTGTTTTTTTTTTTTTATTTTATTTTTTAAGTAAACCTTTGTCTTGCAGATGCGGACGGGAAGATCAGCGTCAAATTTGGAGTCTTGTTTAACGATGACCAGTGCGCCAATCTCTTCGAGGCTCTGGTTGGCACTCTGAAAGCAGCCAAACGAAAGAAGATCATCTCGTTTGAAGGAGAGCTTCTTCTTCAGGGAGTCCACGATAACGTCGATGTCATTTTACTGAGTGACTGACATCCTTTCCAAAGTCTAGATCAAACCATTGGCACATTTTTACATTTTGTAAGCTGCATTGGAATATTTTTCTACGTCATTCGTTTCCTCTCTCAGGGAGTGATCTGCACAACTTTTTTGTAAAGTAGCAATCTTTCCTGAAAGGTCAGCATTTACGTACACCCTAACTGTCCGCTTGGTTTTATACAAGCAGTTCGCCAAACATCACTAGTTACGCTTGAGTTTTACAGACGTCTACCTCTAATGTCTGCTTTGTACCAAGTATATAGATCATGGAAAGCACAGTGAGATACTGTACTGTGAAATGTTTTATATCATTCATATTTAATGTGCCATAATAGCTCAAAGGCTGTTAAACATGATAACAATATATCTGATATAAGATTTTTCTAAATTATTATTAATAAAAGAGCCAAGTTTGACCATTGAACAGAACTGTTTCATTCTTTGAAAGCAAATGTAAGCGTTTCTTGACATCTACCACATGTACATTTTTGTGACATTATAATAGTCTGGTTGAATAAAAAGAGGGTAAGTATAAGGAGCCCAGTTGGTAATGATTTCCACCCAGTACAAATCTTTGGAAAAAAAGCCAAACTTTAAAAATGATTACCTCAGAAATTACATCATTGATACTAATATTTTTAACAATTTTCGAAAGTTATCAATACAGTGAACAAAGTTCACTTTTTTATTTTAATGAGCTCACAATGGTTCAATTGTCCCCTAAAAACCTGAGTTGTATAGAACAGGCTGCGTGTGAACCAGCGGAGCTCTGAAACCATGATGGCTCCATCATTATCAGGAAGTCTCCTGACTGTCATGGCGGCGCTCATAGCACACTTGTGGTTGCAGTGTCACATTGTCCATATGTTTTAGTCTTTGGATCAGACTCAGGATGGACTCAGACAGGTAAACGTTCGATTAAAAAGAAAAATACAAAATGTGAAAATTTAGTGGGCAGTTTTTTTTACTTTTACATGTTTATTAACGGGTCATTTATTTTTTTTTCTTGTATTGAGTTACATTTTCCCTGCATAAGTCATGATTTAAGAGGTGGCAGTGATTTTGTTTTCCGGATTCCAGAGCATCAATGAGTTGTAAGAGCTGCAGCAGTGCGTCGGTTATCTCCTCGGGACTCCCTCAGACTCCACGCTATTAATAACCCCGAGCTGTGGGCCTGGATCGGAGATGTGGGCGGGGCCAGAGGAGCGAGCAGGAATCAAAACAAGAGAGGGACACGCCTTCTTCATGGGCCACCTCTGCTGTCAAGTCTGCCTGCTCAAATCTGAAGGATGAGGAGGATGGTGATCGAACTGTAACATCTGTATCTCTCGAGCTTTCAGATTCGTCAATCAGCCTCGACATGATCTCCGCAGAAATGCTCGGTGGCGGGCGCTGACACACTGAGCACTCCATTATGCCCAACCAAAAAAGCAACAAGGGGAAGAGAAATAAACGTACGAATAGTAGCGGAGACGAGCAAGAAAATGGAGCCTCTGCGTCTGGGGTTACAGGAGGAACTGCCGCGCCGTTGACTGGAGCGACGGCGGGGCCACCGAGCGACAGCAGGAGCGGTAAGAACGTCACGGCACTTCACTAATGTTCCGTCGAAAGGTGCGTTTCCCTGAGCGTCCGCGCGCGTGCGGTGCCGTCCCCCTTCCAAATGTTCTTTCACTTGCAGGAACTTGTTTTGCGCGTTTGTCATCATCACCAGCGCCACCATTACATCGGTTACGACATTGCCTGGAGGTTTCCGTGTTTCACTTGGAGTCCCAAGGTGCAGGGTAGGCCTTGTTCAAGGGTGCACGCTCCTGGCGTGGAGTTGGCTGTGTTAAGAACATGAAATGCTGTGTCTAGGGAGGGCATATGCAAATTCTAATCTACAATCTTCAATAATGCATGGGAATAAGTGTGTCTCATGGATTCAAACTCAATTATTTTTGGAACATTGAAGCTGGTACCTGCTCTGCAAGCTGTACCAACTTTGTTTATGGGTGATTCGTGAAGTTATTCGCCTGTAATCTAAGTATTTTTCTTTAGTAAACACACTAATGACATGCCAGTGACATCATTATTTGATCCCACTGGGACACACCCCCTTCACAACAAGAGAAGCTGCGAAATGACTGCGTTTAATGTGAAAGTGTGCAACTGTGATGTAATTATGATCATTTTTAAGTTAAAGAGCTTTCCTGGAGCTCTGCTGGTAGAGAATTGCGCTAACAATGCAATGTTTGTGGGTTCAAATCTCAGGGAAAGCAAGAACTCACCCCAAAAAGTGTAAGTTGCGTTGCATAAATGCATAAATATTAAGAGAGTTGGACTTCCTATGATTTTGCCAGATGACCAGCTTTCTGTGAAATTTCATGACTTATACATACCTGATTTCAATGCCGGCAATGTTTGGTTTTGGCCTGATGTACAGTGAGGAGAATAAGTATTTGAACACCATGCTATTTTGCAAGTTCTCCCACTCACAAATCATGGAGGGGTCTGAAATTTTCAGCTTAGGTGCAGGTCCACAATGAGAGACGTGATCTAAAAAGAAAAATCCAGGTGGTTTGAAATCATGCACGGCATGGAAGTTTCCACTGCTTAAAGCAGCACATGTCCAGGTCCGTCTTAAGTTTGGTAATGACCATTTGGATGATCCAGAATCATGGGAGAAAGTTATGTGGTCAGATGATACCAAAATAGAACTCTTTTGTCATAATTCCACTAAGCGTGTTTGGAGGAAAAAGAATGATGAGTACCATCCCAAGAACACCATCCAATCTAGTTCAGACTCATGAAATGTTTAAATCAAATTAAACAAATTGGATTGGGTTGCTGCAATGTGAGGCCCTGTCCACATGTACCCGGTTAATTTGGGTAAAATGGGTATTTTTCAGCGCAGTTACACTGTCCATCCACACGTAACTGCACTACTGTTTTCATGTAACCGCGCATTTTTGAAAACGCCAGCCAAGGTGAATCGTATTTGGAACGCTCCTCACCCGGAGTCTGTGTGGACAGTGAAACCAGATGTTTTGTTGAGTTTGTTGTTGTCACACTCTGTTTTATCTAAATTTTGTAAATTAGATAAAAGCATACTCTGGGTGCTTTTATCTGAAAACGGACACGTGAAAAACCCGGGTACGTGTGGACACGGTCTCATTGTAGCCATTCCCTGATAGTCTGAGTTTACCATTAAACAAGACAATTAGTTGTGATAGTTACAACCACTTTTTAAAATGCATTGTAAATAATTTGTCATCTCCATTGCCATGTGGAAGAATTAATGTTCCAGTCAAGAAAGATTTTTTCTAAAGTAATGTTGTTGTTTGTGTTGTACAGAGGCGGTGTGTGCCACCCCTTTAGTGTGCAGCCTGGGCCGTCCTGTTGACCTCGAGAAAGACGACTACCAGCGTGTCCTCTGTAACAGTGAAATCTGCCCCTATGGCAACTGGATGCACCTGCAGTGCTTCTACGAGTGGGAGAGCAGCATCTTGGTCCAGTTCAACTGCATCGGTCGTGCACGCAGCTGGAACGAGAAGCAGTGCCGCCAGAACATGTGGACCAAAAAAGGCTACGACTTGGCCTTCCGCTTCTGCTCCTGCCGCTGCGGACAGGGCCACCTGAAGAAAGACACAGACTGGTACCAGGTCAAGCGCATGCAGGACGACCGCAAGAAAAAGGTTCCGGAGAAAGGCAGCGGGAAGCCCAGCAGCAGCACTTCCTGTGGGGGCGCGTGTGGGGGGCCGGATCCTATTGAGGAGCCTAAGAAAGGGAAAACACTTGCAAACCATAAGCTAGCACATCGTGGCTCCAGTCAGGAGCTTTCACGAAGACAATCCGTGGATTGCCAGAACTCCCAAGCTGGTCCTACCTGTGCCAGCACTGGGACCCGCTCCCCTTGTGACTCACCAGCTCAGTCCCCGCCGTCAGGCTTCGTCTCTTTCTCTCCTCAGTCTCTCACGGGGCTGCGTAGCTCCCGGCATCTGGGTGAGTTTCTGAAGAACGCGGTTCACACCGAAGGTCACAGGAAGCACCTCTTTCAGGGTGGATGCTTGCCAACACGTGGGGCTCACCTGGAGCAGGGCAGTGCCGGCATGTGTATGCCTCGGCTGTCTCATGGGGAGCTCCCGGTGCAGTTCCTGAGGAGGCTGGATCTCTCGGAGCTGCTCGCACACATTCCCCGTCACAAGCTCAACACATATCATGTGCGCATGGAGGACGATGCCCAGGCCGGCCAGGGAGAGGACCTCAGGAAGTTCATCCTCTCTGCACTCAGTGCCAGTCATCGCAACGTGGTGAACTGTGCGCTATGCTATCACACGCTGCCCATCTTTGAGCAGTTCCCGTTAGTGGACGGAACACTTTTCCTGAGCCCATCACGCCATGAAGAGATTGAGTATGACGTACCCTGCCATCTACAAGGTGAGAGAAATTGAGTTCCTTTTGTTAATGCAAGGATTGCTTGACTGTTTTAAGCTTCTTACATTTTGTAGTGCGTTTAAAACTAATTGTTTGAATTGATCGGATTGCGGTAGAGCTGAAGATCTTTGCTCAAACTTGACAAGGCCCATTGGGACCCGACAAATGATGTCGGCTTCGAGCTTAATTTCTACACAGACTTTGTGGTCGGCGGTCATGTGATGCGCTTAGGTTGCTGGGAGAGACACGAAAATGGACGTATGGAGGTGAAATGTAGGCTTACCTTTTGTAATAATATGTATAAATAGATAACTCTTATCACTCCAGTGCTGTCAAAATTAGCTTAAACGCATGTGATAAATTTGAAATATTTAACGTGGTTGCAGTTTTTTTGTTCATTCCCGTCTGATCAACGTATGGATAAGACCAAGGCAGGACTGTAACAGGCTGTTATGTTCATGCCTTTATTTTCTGCCTTTTCATGCATTTCATGTTTTTCCCGGTGAATTTACTTCCGCCTTGGTCACATCACATGATCGCTTATATTATTTTCCCATAACGCAAGCCTTCCGTGTGACTAGTGAGATTTTGAACGAAACCTTCGTTCTTTAGTTTAGGTTATTCCTCCTCCTTTAGTGAAGTCTTATGTTATTCAGGTTTTCTATACGAGGGTCTTTTGTGTTCATGTTACTTGTTATGTGATTAATAAATATGGCTTTCAAGCCAACAGTTTGCACTAATTACCGTATTTTTCACCGTATAAGACGCACCAACGTATAAGACGCACCAAATTTTAAATGAGGAAGATCTAGAAAAAAAGATTCTGAACCAAATACTGTAGTAAATATTTTATATCAACTGTGTAAAAGTTAACAGCAGTTTAAGAACAATTATATGCCAAACATGCAACATGAACAGTCAGTAAAGTCACCGTTCAGATCGTTCCACGGATCAGGAGTCACAGATCGGATCTACCGTATTTTGGATGAGTAAAAAAAACAACAAGACAAACATACCGGTGCTTATTTTCTTTGCCCCCCCTCATCATTCGTTATCACCATCACTGTTCCAGTGCAACATTGCCCCCACATTAGTAATACCGTAATAGCCAGTAACATTGTCACCACATTACTAATAATAGCTGGCACAATGCAGCTGCTTACCTGCTCCTTACGATCCGCGCTATGGTAGGATCGACGAGCAGAGATTGGCGATGACGTCAGCGCGCACCGCCGGGTGTACAAATATGGCCGACAGCTCCGGAGCAAGGCTGAAGCCGCGGCCTCTCTTACGCCTCTCCTAAGGCCGTGACCGCCCTCCGCTCCGCGGCGCTCTGCATTCGCCGTTTAAGACGCACCAAAAAATACGGCAAAAAATACGGTATTCATATTTACATATCCAAAAAGTTTTGGTCTTTTAATTTGAGAGCACTACTTCATTTCTCGGTTCGAGTTCAGAATTTTTTTTATTATTTAGAATTGTATAGATATTTTTCCACCTCAGAGTCCTATATCTGCTGGCAACAGGCAGTAGTGTCAATCTAGGATCACTACTAATATTTTCACTAGTGATACGATCACTGTATTTTTTTTATGTAATTATAAATATATAATATAAATATATATCCTTTTTTTTGTTTTGCATTTATTTCCATAGGACAGCAAATAAAGACCCACGGCCTTTTTATTTAAAACGACAGGACAGTAGAGAGTGACTGGAAGTGAGGCGTAAAGATGGGAAAGCTGCTACTCCACGGCGCAGGACATTTTTAATTGTTGCTTGTACTTTATTTAGTTGTAATACTTATTGTGATCATGAACTTTTTCGAATTCTTTGTTCCTTGGGTCGTAAGGATCTAATTTTTAAATTAATTATCAAAGCAACACATTCAACACTATTCTAGTGGTGTGTTGTTGAACTTGCAAATGTGTGCAACAATAAATGTGGTTTAGTACTTAGAAGCTAAATATAATTTCTCCCGTTGTGCTGTTTGTTGGTATAGACAGGACAGGAGGGGTTATTACAGGATAGATTTAGGTGGAGAGAGGAAAAAGGACAGAATATGAGTTGGAATTAAACGTAACACGGCATTGCTCCTTAGCCCTAGGCCAAAGGAGATGATCATTCGAATAAATTAGATTTTTCTTTTATTGTCCTTAACTGAATATAACGCTATCATATTTGTTATTAAAATGAAAGCTGAGTAGCTCTGTATTTTTATTCTAAAGGTAGGCTGATGCACCTCTATGCGATCTGTGTGGACTGCCTGGAAGGTGTGCATAAAATCGTCTGCATCAAGTGCAAGTCTAGGTGGGATGGAAGCTGGCACCAACTGGGTACGATGTATACCTATGACATACTGGCTGCCTCACCATGCTGCCAGGTAAAGTGCCTGTCTGATTAATACTATGTTTTGTTTTGTTTTTCAAATGTGTCAAGTTTTGCCATTTTATTTCCAAAATTAAGTGTCATTCAATATGCGCATGTTTCCATATTATGCTGTAAGAGACCCATTGGACTCTGAATATTCTAAACACTGAGTACATGAGCAGATGTGAACTCATCAGAACCTATAAGCAAACGAGTCGCTGGATGCTAAAGGCCACAAAAGAGTCAAAATTAAATAAACAGTAAAAAAAAAAAAGAAAAAACAACCAGAAGCCACAACACGGATTAAAACGTATTTTTTGACTTTCATCATAACTAATGATAAAAACTACATCTGCATCACAAACAGGAAGTTGCATCCCAGCTAGGGTCTATACGGTGTTGTAGATCCCACTCTCTCTTTTGTTTTTTTAAATCTCGAAAGAGCTGCTTCACTCGCTCAGACTCTCTTTCCCCT